ACTGTTCAAATCCAGCCCACCTACAGCAATGACAATTCATTTGCCCCCTTCTCTCCACAGCACATTTTCAGGTCAAATCCAGACACAGGGAAGTAAATGATCGTGTTGTTTCATGCAGACAGAGCATGAATGTGGTTGCTGGAGAGCAGCTGTCCCACTGCAATGCCTGCCTTTTGGAGGAGTTATTCGCAGCTCTTGCTGCACGTGGGGCAGCTTCTGCCACATATGTGAGGAGCATGAGGGAGGCAGGGTCTGAGATCCTGGCCTGAGGGGTGAGACTGTGCAGGACCAGCAGTGGTAAAAATGAGGAATTTGATAAATGCCCAAAGGGAGAAACTGTGTCTTTCCTAAGGACAGCAAAAGCTCCCGTCTGTTCCGGGCACTGGTGTCTCAACTCTGCCATCGGTGGGGCAGGGCACTGAGCCCGTCACCCACAGCGCTGCTGTCAGAAGGCAGAGGAAGCTTTTAGACTGTGCAGTATTTAGCAAGGGTGGAACAACTGGCTTCCCTTTCACAGCCATCACCCTCCCCACCACCCCACAGGACTCTAAGAGGGCCATAAATGTTTTCAGCATGGCTCTTTACCAAGCATATGCCATAAATTACAGTCCCGTGCCGATAATAAGTCAGGTAATAGCGACACTTTTTTGTCCTGCCAACTGCACAAAAGGTGGCAGAGGGGAGGGAGGAAGGTGGGGGGAGACGCCTATTAGCACCAGGCTGGATTTTACACGCGATGGAAAGTGTTTGTTCAGCTGGAAGTGAGAGTGGTCCTTAACCCAGGAGCACACACTAATGCAAACAGAGAGTGCCGAGGGGTGAGGGGCACGGCACAGAGCAGCGATTCACACTCCGCCTCAGGTGCGAGGGCTGCAAGCACCAGGCCTGGGCCAGAGCACCCACCGAGCCTGCTTTTGCTCCAGCTCCATTTCACACCTTTTGGAAACACTAATTGCAGGTTCTGCCTTGCCTCAGAGGAGAACACAGGCAGGTGTGAGAGCACCCAGCGCCATGGATTTTGGTGTAAAGCCCACCTGAGAGCTGAGCCAGAGAGCCGCGCTGGCCCTTTGGCTGGGACAGAGAGGATCCCACTCCAGGGAGAGGCCCTCTGGGCCCACATGCTCTTGTCCTTCACTCAGGCAGGTCAGCCTATTCTCAGGTCTCCAGAAAGCAAAGCCATGGGTTCACAGCCTGGTTTTGCATTTACTTGTCCAGCCACCTCTGCTGTGAACACTTCTGGTCCCTCGCTGCTCACATTCTGTCACCCTACAAGGTAAATGCACTGAAGGCCCAGAGCCAGCTGCCCAGGCAGAGGCACAATGCTGTGAGGGACCCCAGTCCCCAAAAAACAGGTCCTGCTTTGCCTGGTGAAGGCCAGTGAGTCCCCTGAGAAGAGACAGTGATGCGTTTGGGCTGGTCAGAGCAGTGCAGGAGGAAGGAAGGGACCAAGCCAGCATCAAAGACAGTGCAGAGCATAAATCAAGGAACATTTACTTATCCATCCATGTCTGTAGCACGTGACTCACCAACAATCCCTGGAGCTTATAGGGTGTACCTCCTCTTGAGAATAAACCAAACTCCTTCAGAATCACCCTCTCAGGAAAAGACCTTGGAAAATAAGCCATTCCCTGAAATGCCACAGGTCATTAGGCAGGTGCTCCATGGATGGAGGCAAACTGTGACATCCAAAATCCCCTGCAATGAACTCTCCCCCTCCAGAGAGTCAGGAGCTGGCAAGAGTGTCCCAAAAGTGCCCAGCAGCCAGAGGGGTCTGTGTGGACTGGACCTTACCAGGTACCAAACACCAGAGCAGTACCTGCAGGCAAAGTTGGATGCTGAAAGACAACATCCCCCTCTGGAATACCTGGTGTGATATGTTGAGAGTGTACTACACAACACCATCCAGTCCCCTCATGGAGGAGGGGGATTAGTCATCCTAAAGGGAACCTACTAATTCCATTCTCACAAATCCCCTGTCCAGACCAAGAGGAGCACCCAGTACCAGAAGTTAACCCTTCCCATGATATTCTTGGCACAATGGGACTGCTCACCCCTAAAAGGCAGGAGCTGCCATAGCTGGGGCGAGGGAAGGGACAAAAAACCAGGAAAAGGTGGCTGCAACCCATTCCTTTTAATGTCATTAAAATATCCACCAGCACTCTCTTAGTTTTGGGACTGTTAGCTTGAGCCTCACCCTCGTTGCCAGGAGGAAAATCAGCAGCTCATCCAGAGGGGAAAAACCAGGTCTGGCTGCTGCAGGTGGAAGAGAAGTGATCCACAACACTAAGCAAACCTCCCATTAAGATGCTGGCACGTGATAGCAAAAGGATTTTCTTAATTATCCAATGGTAATTCCCCGTTTCACCCACAGGAGGTCACACTTTGCCAAGGCTTATCAGCTTTCCATGCAAAGAACCCGGTGCAAACAGCACTGCCGTGGGACCAGCAAAGCCACGGTTTTACTAGCCCAGCTTAGGTTTTGGCCCAAGTCCCTTCAGTGCATCCTCTGTGATCCTCCAGCTGCTCTCCAGCCCACCCTACCAGCGCTAAGCCTTCCTCTCCAAGGCTGTTGGACACCCAACTCAGGTCTCATGTGGACTCAGCCACTCCTCCCTTGCTTTTCTTTTCTTGCTTTCATGTCCTTCCCCAGTCCCTCCACCATCTCCAGCCTTCCAGTCCCTCCACTGCCCTGGACAAGAGGCCACGGGCTTAAGCTCTGCCAGGGGAGGTTTAGGTTGGATGTTAGAAAGAAGTTCTTTACAGGGAGAGTGATCAGGCATTGAAATGGCCTGCCCAGAGAGGTGTCCCTGGTTTTTAAGATGAGGCTGGATGTGGCACTGAGTGCCATGATCTGCTAATCACAGTGGGGTTGGATCAAGGATTGGACTTGATGATCTTGGAGGTCTCTTCCAACCCAGTTAATTCTATGGTTCTATGATTCTGCCAAAAAGCCTCCACTACATCCAGTGCCTAGTGCATAACTCCAATCTGGTTTCATAAAAAAATGAGAAATACAACTGCATGCACCAGAGAGATTTCTGTTCCTATATGCTCCAGGAAAATGAATGTTCAGGGGGAATAGCATTCCCACACAAAGGAATGGTTCAGTATGAGCTCACTTGTCTTCAGAGAACAGAGAGAGAAGCCACCTTCAAGACACAAATCCATAGGTAAACAGGCTTCACCCAACACTGCACTTGTGGAACTTGATGCAACCTGAAAGTGTTCCCAAGCTGCAGGATATAAATGAATATCCTTCTTTCATCATCCCTAAAAAGCCCCTGCAGATTCACTGCCCTCAGTGCCCAGCGGGTCACCAGGTCTTGCTCTCTATTTGAACCGTTGCAGGGTTTAATACTTAGACACTCAGCATTACTTGGCTTCTGCAAAGCTGCCAGCAATGAACACCTTTCTCCAAGAGAAGTAGATGCACTCAAACGTGTTTTCCATCAGCCAGCTACTCAAGCAAGGTTTTCACCCTTTCTCTCACTCACAGTCACAAACAGTCCAACAGCCTGAGCACAGGCTGACACAGATCACTCGCGCAGCCTCCAAAACACCCAGCACCCACTCTGCACAAATCATCTGCCATTTTTACAACCTCTCCAAGCCCACAGACTGCAGTCTCCTTTTAGCCTGCCATCACACAGGCTCCCCTCCTGAAGGATGTCCCCACACTGATCTGATCTCTGTGCAGGGCTCTGTCTCTTTGAACACTGTCCCCTATGGCACCCGGAGTACTGGAATTAGGTAAAACCATCAGGCAATGCAGAGGCTTTGGTGACAAAAGTGTCACCATTAAACTCCTAAAATATCTCTTGATAATGCTCCAGTGAGCATCAGGACAGAAATTTGGAGAGAGCCCTCAATTACTGCTGCTTTCAGTATACTGAGAACATATATCTGGCTAAAGGGTGTGTTCGGTTCCAATCACAGTTTACATTTCAGCAGAGAAATGATTCCAGGAACCCATTCACTCTCCCTGTGCCTGCTCTTGCTTTCCTAAAGCCTACTAATTCCCAGCTTTTTTTGCCTCCTTTTTTGCACCATGTGAACACCTTCCTCTGCTGCAGTTCCCTGGGAAGGATGTGGGAATACCAGCCCTGCTTTCCCCCAGAGAGGCACCATGAGCCCAGATATACAGACTGCATAGGCCTCACGTACCACAGGGAAAGGATCTATAAATGCTGAAGACAGATGGAAGTTTTTCATCCTCCTACAAAATCTTACCAAATGCTGCCCACACTTATCTCTGTTCCCACACCTCTCTGTCTACTTTCATCCTCTTCTAAGCCTGCTTTTCTTGCAAGCTCAGCTTCATTTAGCACAGGGAACATAATTCTTTCCATGTGTGGAACTGCCCTCTAGGACTCTACAGAGCCTACAAGTGAATATAAAATGATGCACTGTATTTCTAACTTAACATGTGAATAAACAAATGGCTTCTGGAAACGGCTCTAGCATGTGCCCCATGACACCATTCATTGCTCTCCACAGCAGCATTGGCCAGTCACAAGGAAGCCTGGAAGGAAGCACTTTAGGAGGACTGCTCAGTGCTTCCCACCACTTTGGAGCTTAGCCCTTCCTTGGAGCAGTGGGACTGCCCTGCCTGGCCACCAGCAGAGACAGGCACAGCAATGTCTGAGACCCCACTCACCCTGTCACAGTGTGTGCTGTGTCCCTCTGCAGGACTTAACAGGGAACGATGGGAACAGACTCTTTTAGCAGGGCCTGTGGCAATAGAACAAGTGGGGAGGGTTTTAAACTGAAAGAGGGAAGATTTAGATTGGGTATTATTAGCCAGAAGTTTTTTATCATGAGAGTGGGGAGGCCCTGGCACAGGAAGTGTTCAAGGCCAGGTTGGACGGGGCTTGGAGCAGCCTGGGCTGGTGGAACGTGTCCCTGCCCATGGCAGGGGGTGGGACTGGATGATCTTTAAGGTCCCTTCCAACCCGAACCACTCCAGGATTTATCTTGCCTCTAATCACTGCCCAGTAGCTTTAAGGTAAATACAAAAAACCTCTCAAGACCTCCTTTAAAATCCAGCTGCAATGGCTACAAGTCCTCTGTGTGTTTTATGTTTCATTATCATGCTTTGTACTTTCCTTGTGGTCCTTTGTGGTTTCCTTTAGATTGTAAACCTTCTGGGTAAGGGATTTGTTATCTCTTTGGCAAGATCCTGCATTACCAAGCTGTGTACATTTACAACACCATATAAAAGATTAGTACTTTATTGGTCACTGAAGCATTGCTAGTTAATAATCTTTAATGTGGCAGTTATTTATCCAGTCGTAAACAGAACACTGCTGCCAAGCCAAGTCAAATAAACACTATAGAAATCCTCCATCTTTAAAATGAACCAATTTCTGTCCTGGACATTGTAGGCTTTGCAAAAAAAAAGCAGTCACATTGTTACTGAGCACAAGAGTAGTCAAATTTTAAAGCTTTCCTTAAGCAACAGTTGTATCCAGTATTTACCCTAAGCTTTTCCCAGCCCCCAGGGTAGAAGCACAGCCCGAGGCCTCCTCACCCCTCACTGCTGTCTGTGGGATGGTGACCAAGGAGCCAGGCACGGGCTAGGGCTGAATATCTGCAGCCTGTGCTGTGTGTCCTGTGAGTTATCTCTGCGGATGGAGATCTGCACAGCTGATGTCAGGAAAGGCTGAGCTGGCCAGAGGAGCAGGTCCTGTGGAAGTACAGTCTGGCTCTGAGGAACAGAACAACAGAGAACAAAGTTGTATGGCCAGAACTTTGAAGGACACCATGGCAGGGAAAAAAAAGAAAAAAAAAAAAGTAAGTTTTAGCTGATTAAGCATCATTTAGATATTAAAACACACACCCTGCACATGCTAACAGTCTTCAGTAAGTACATGCTCCCACATATATGACTCAGCTAGGCTCTCTGCCTAAATCGTGCTAAACATGAAGAAGGAGCAGGGGGATAAGATTGGGCTGTATATATGGGGGGTGAAAATTGCACCTAGTCAGGAGGAAGACCCAAAAGGACCTTAGAGATAGTTGATGGGCTTCTCTCCTCTCCCTCCTCCCAAGACTTCTTGCTAAGTTTCTGCATAAGGTTATTATTACTTGGACTAACACTATACTATTGTTATTATTAGAGCTCTGTCACAGCTAGTGCATTTATCCAGGGCAATTCCAAACCTGTATTTCATTAATAGATTGGGTTGGAAGGGACCTTAAAGCTCACCTATTCCCACCCCCTGCCATGGGCAGGGACACCTTGCACCAGCCCAGGTTGCTCCAAGCCCCATCCAACCTGGCCTTGGACATTTCCAGGGATCCAGGGCAGCCACAGCTTCTCTGGGCAACCTGTGCCAGGGCCTCACCACCCTCTGAGTAAAGAATTTCTTTCCAATATCTAATGTAAACCTGCTGTCTTTCAGTTTGAAGCCGTTCTCTCTTGTATTTCTGCTGCTCCAATAAAACACACTAGTCATGAATTTGTGGTAGTGAAAGTTCTGACAGAACATTACAAGACTCCCAGTGTTGAACCCGCCCTGTTTGAGAGCCTGTGGTCGTGGAAGTCCCTATCAAACACAACCACTTACAGTTCCAAATTGGTTACAATCAGAGATTAAGCCCAGCCACCCTCAGCCCCTCTGATCTCCAAAGACCAGCTGAACCACAAGGGTATTTCTTTTCTGCCAAATTTCTATACTCTTATCACAACACTGCTCCCACCACCCTGTCTGCCCACACTGCCTCTCACCACCACCCACCACCCCTCACAGTGCCCATCACCTCTCACAGCCCCTCATCATTGCCCTGCATCCCCCTGACGCCTCACAGTCCTTCACTGTCACCTCTCATAGCCTGATCCTTCAAAGCTCACAGCCACCTCCCACAGCCCCCCATTACCCCTCACATCCCCCGTCACCTCTCACAGCCCCTGTCACCTCTCACAGCCCCCGTCACCCATCACAGCCCTCCAAGCATCACCCCTCACAACCTTTCCCAGCCTCCATCATCCCTCACAGCCCCCATGACCCCTCACAATCCCTCACAGCCCCCATGGCCCCTCACAATCCCTCACAGCCCCCATGGCCCCTCACAGTCCCTCACAGCCCCCATGGCCCCTCCCAGCCCCGCTCGCCCTCAGGGCCGGGGGCGCCGCGCGCGCTCCCGCCCCGCCCGCCGGGGACCGCGTGCGCGCGCCCGGCGCGCCGCCGGTGCCGCCCCCTCCGCGCAGGCGCGGGGGCCGCGCGCGCCCCCGTCTCGGTGGACGCGTCGCGGCGGAGCGGGCGGTGAGGGCCGTGAGGGCGCTGAGGGCGCGGCTCGGGGGGCGGCCGGGGAGGGATGAGCTTCGGGGCCGGGCGGCCGCATCTCCCCGCGAGCGGCCGGGCTGGACCCCGGAGGAGGGCGGCCTCGAACCTGCCTTCTCTGGGCCCCGACCCCGTGCCCGGGCCGCGGGTCGCCCGCCGCGCCCGTGCGAGGCCGGGCGGGATCTGCGGGGGAGGCCGTGTCTGTGCGTGGGCTCCGGAGCCCCCCGGGGGGGTGGGGGGTGTCCGCGGGGGCTCTGGGCAGCGCCCGGGGGTGCGGGGGTGTGTGCGGGTTAAATGGCCTGTGAGTGCCTTCCAGTGCCTCCAGTGCGGGTCCTGTTCCGCTCCCTGGGATGCGGGCAAAGCTGGTGGTGAGGCGGGGAGGATCCCCCGGTAGCTGGGGTTGCTCACCCAGAGCTCCCGCCCGTCCTTCCGGCCGGGCCCCTGGGGGAGCCGCGGGTCCTCCAAACCCAACACTTGCGGCCTCTTCTTTCAGGGCTTTAAGATCTCTGTAATGAAATTAAAATTTCGTTAAGGGTTTGTTTTCACGTTGGTCTTCCTCCAGGAGCTGCTCTGTGAAACACACACACATGTATATACACATATGTTTATATATATATATATACAGCACGTCCTTCAGTGAAAATTGCTGCTGGAATATTGGGGCAGCCAGACTGTTCCCAAAATGCTGCTTGGCCTCTCTGGGCCTGTGAGCAGGAGAGCAATAGCCAAGGGGATGCAGCATGTCTGGGTGCCCGGACCTGTGATGAGAGAAAACTGGGAGCTTCCCAGTTGGACTGTATTATCTCAATCCTCGTGTTTTTATATGTATCTGTATTTTATCCAATTCCTACAGGAAGCCAGAGCATCTCAAAGCTTTTCTGGTTTACAGGAAACCCCAGTAGGATTGTCAGAGCGTCCAGGAATACCCAGAGCGCAGAAATTACATGGATCACATCTAGGGAGCTGTATTACCAGAAAAGGGAATTCCCTGTTGTTGGAATTTCCTTCTTTCCACAATCACTAGTAGTTAAACTGTTGCAAAAGACTTCTCTCCAAGGTAGTTACTCGGGAACAGCCCTGATAACTTGAATCCAAGGACTCCAGCAACATTTATGGTAGCTCTTTGTTCCTTCCAAGCAATACGTGATACTTATATCCTTTGTAATTTGCAAAATGGCTGTGGAAGTATTGCAGAATAATTAGCTCTTGGGAATCCTTGTCCTGAATGTCTTTTCTGTCATTAATATTTGAAAGTTTGCAAGTGTTCCTGCAGCCAGGAAAAGGAAAAACAGCTTCCTCCCTGTCTTTTCTTTTTTTTTTTTTTTTTTTTTTTTTTTTTTTTTTTTTTTTTTTTTTTTTTTTTTTTTTTTTTTTTTTTTTTTTTTTTTTTTTTTTTTTTTTTTTTTTTTTTTTTTTTTTTTTTTTTTTTTTTTTTTTTTTTTTTTTTTTTTTGCTGTTAATAATTAAATACAGGCAAGTAAATGTTTCTAGCAGGCTGTTTGTGGATCTGTCACACATTTAAGCACGTCTGCTCTTCCCTGCTCGATCCTTTAATTGTGACCTTAGTTTTCTCCCTGTGGCTCCATTTGCTTATTCATTCTGTTAATCTGAAATCTGTAAGGGCCTCTGTCCCCTGATCAGCCTTGTCATTTGGACTGGAAAGAAAACAAAAAAAACAGAGCAGTAAAATGTCTCTGTCTGTATGCTTAAGGCAGGCAAGCAAAACAAACCAGTCCACACTGCACATGTGTCTCACCATCTTCAACACCAAGGTTATTGCAATCTGATAATGCTGCCCTGGCATTTGTTTGGGTCATAAGTGCCTTTGCTTTAGTGCTGGAGCCACAAACAGTCAGTGACAAGCAAATTATTGGCAACGTACCACGAGTTCAGTGCTGGCTGTTCTGCTGGCTCTGTGGGATCCGCTCTGCCCTGCCTGTGAGGTTAAGGAGGACATTGGAACTGCTGCTGGAGAGCTGTGGCTGCAGAGCTCAGACACAGATAAATGTGTGTTACCACTCCAAAAAGATAAATTGTGCCAATGGTCTGAAAGAAAAATATCTCCTTATAGTCCATCTGTACACAGCCTTGGATTGCGATTGAGGACTAAAGAACTACAATTTCTCTGAAATTTGTTTGGGGAGGCCTCTGTTGTCAGGTTTAGTTGCAACGGTCTGACAGGTTTGCGTGGGGTGTGTTGGGGGGTGCAGTGGATTTTGTCACAGGAAAGGTATTCTTGAGCCATTTCCTGCTTTTGTACTTGTCCAGACAATCATGTGACCTTTCTGATATAAAAATGGACCTCATTGCACTGTAATTAATAATTGACTGCCGTGGAGCCCACGTGTGTTGGTGGGAGTATGTGCTGGAGATATCCAGCTCTGCAATAAAATGTTTTTAATTCTCTAGTACTAATATATGGAAGTGCTCATAGCTGTGGTGTTCACACTCTTAGGTTTTAACATAACTCATTTGTTCTGCTCTTGCTTCAGCTTCTGCAGTTAGAGGACAATTACCTCAGCTTTCAGATGTGCTGCAAAGAACCATGAGCTGTTGATTCCCACTGTCCTGGGAAGGAGACTCAGAACAGATCTGTGTGACTGCCAGTGTCTGTGTTAATGAGGGTGTTGGGGATGTAGGCACATTGTCACAGAGCCACAGAATGGATTGGGATGGAAGGGACCTTAAAGATCATCCAGTCCCACCCTGCCATGGGCAGGGACACCTTCCACCAGCCCAGGTTACTCCAAGCCCCATCCAACCTGGCCTTGGACACTTCCAGAGATGGGGCAGCCACAGCTTCTCTGGGCAGCCTGTGCCAGGGCCTGCCCACCCTCACAGGGAACAATTTCCTCCCAATATCTAACCTAAACATACTCTCTTCCAGTTTAAAACCCTTCCTCTCCTCCTGATTATATTAGCAAATGGTGTAACTTTGGTGTAGCTGCACCAACACAAGATTGTTTCGTTATGTTTTTATGGGAAAAACTATTTGAGGGAGAAATAACTTGTACACAAATTTGTTATAGTGGCTGTTTTTCAGGAAACTGGTCCGAGGTTATTTCCAAGTCTGTTAGGCTGACTAACAGTCATTTGAAAAGAAAAATATTGTTCAGATTAGGACAGGTTTTTCTAACTAAGAGGACAGATACCAATCCTCAGCAAGTCAGCTGCTCTAACCCCGTAGTCCATTGCGTGTCTTCAGTTGGGTTTGTTTCAGAACTGGTCTTCTAAACACTGTAAACTGAATTCTAAAACCCCCTACCTGTGCAGCAAACACCAATTGTTCCCAGGAGGAGAGACATTTTACAGAGATTGCCCTTTTAATGCGAACTTTTGTACATCCCGTATAGAGGTGGGAATTTATGACACAGCCCTCACGAGTAGTAATCCTGCTTGTGATTTTAGAGACTGAAATGAGTTGTTTATGCTGCAAGCACTTCAATAATGTGGTTAATTAGCTGTTCTTCTGCGCTGTGAGGGTATTTGTCACCTTGTTTTCTGTACTGCAGTTCCAGGTATGAAGGTTGGGAGCCGTGCAGACAGATACCAGTTTTTGTTTTTTAAAGGAATGGAGGTCACTGGTGCACCTGATGCACATCAGTGTTGCCCAGTGCATTGTTTAAAAAACAATCTAATCTTTAAAAATATTTTTTCCCCTCACAAACAGGCCCACAAACAGGAGAAGGGAGTAAGTTATAAGAAGATCTATACAAGGAAAAATTCTAAGGTAAGACTGGAAGATTAGCAATGTACGCTAATAGTAAGATTATAAACTCGGCAGCCAGTCTGTTTTCTTTAAATGCCCTTTGATTTTAAAATCATAATCAAAATAATGCAGGACTAGTTGGGGATTTCACACTGATCAGTTTTACATTATGAGATGCTGTTTCTGTAGCTTTGCGGCTCTACAGGAGTGGTTTTTGCTAATCTTTTACTTTTAATAGTGCCTGAACTTAGAAAGACAACAGAAATCAGTACCCAAATGAAGAAGTGTTGTTGCAGTTCCCTGAAATGGAGCTGTTGGCTGAACTTAGGTCCTCCTTTAGCTGTAAAGGATAGTTGGAAGTGGTTGGTGTTGGTGTCTGAATATCTTCTGAATGCTGGATAACCTACACTTTGTTTCAGGAAAGGGTAATCCATTATTTGGCACAGAGGGTTACTGAAGCTTTTCTCCTGAGCAATCTCAGAAGAAAGGGATAAAATCGATAGGGTTTTGTAGAGATGGAAGAAAATAAATCCTGAGGAAAACGACAGCTTTAATTTTTATATCCTCATCTTACTGTAAATTGACTTTTGTTTTCTGAGAGAAAACTGCTACACCCTTACACTGAGTGTAGAGGACAATGAAATAGTCTGAGATTGTAAGATTTTCCTACCCTGGTTTTAACTGCTGGCTGAAATTATGGAAGCGCAAATCTACCCCGGAATAAACAAGTTCTAGGGATAACTGCTGGCATGAACAGAGCATATACCCTGTGGCTTACTACAGAGTTAAGGAGTGTATGCAGCGATTTCCACAGGCTCAGCAGAGATGAAGGATTTGTGTGTTCCACTACACTGGGGTTGCTGCTTCATCCACCTGTTCCCTAATTTAGGTATCCCGTAAGCTCTCCAGCACTGCCAGTTAAGGCTTTGTATATTCATGTGTTGCACTGAGGCACCTTAAGCATCTCACTATAAACAGGCCTTATCCATTGATTTAACAGAAAAATTTAATTGGCACAAGTTTCCACACTGGTACTTGAATTGCTTTGATTAATTTGTCTTTTTGTTTTATTTTAAAGATGGGGAAATTTGTTTTTAATGATGGGGAATTGGGACATTGGCCTGTTTCCCTAATAGACTTTAAATGGTACCATTCATATTTTGAACCTTTTGCAAGAGACAATGTGCAACACTCATCTGTGTGGATGTATTTTTGATAAATATGAATATTTTGAAGAAATGGAGCATTATTTTTTAAAAATGGGATGTATATGTCCATGGATATATACAATATGTACGGTGCAGTGTATGTTTTGTGAGTGTGTATATATATTTGAATGGAAAATATATTTGCATTAGCAAGTTGCTGATGAGACTGTGGTGAGCTAGTTCTTCTTGTACATCTCTTGAGCAGCAAAGGCTTCCCTGGAGCCCGCAGACAGGGCTCCTGGTGCTCACCTGGCCCAGCACAGCAGGCATATTGTTAAACCCTACATGGAAAAAGGCTACTGTTGTATGGAACAGAAGGATAAAAACCAAAAACCCCACAGTTACAGTGTGGTCCAGATCATGACTTGGAAAGTGCTGAGGTTGTTGGGAGGAGAGGCTTTGTCACAAGGTGTGTTCATCCCACGGAGCAGCTCCCATGCCCTCCCTCATGTGGGAATGAGCAGGGCAGTGAGGCCAGGGATAAGCTGGCAGTCCAAGCCCCGGGGAGCTGAGGGGTTTGTTATGTTGTAGCTGGGCTGTGTTAGCTCTGGCACCTGCACCTGCTGCAGTTTGGGGTGCAAAGCATCCCAGCAGCTTGGTGGTTGCACAGGGTAGAGAACCTGTGATTTGTAGAGAAAAGCCCTGGTCACAAAAACCTGTTGAAGAGGAATAATCATATGCTGTGGAGACTGCCCAGGCAGTGGGAGGAGCAGGTGTAGGAGGTGTGAGCTCTTCAGCCCCTGAATGGCTTTGTCCTGCTAATGAAGCCATGGAACGTTGCCAAGGACTGGGAATCGCTTCTTGGCAAACCTCTCTCCTACGAGTGCCCTTTCCTGGTGTCTCAGATTGTGTCTTCTGCAAGTAAAAATCTCCCTGTGTTTCCGTTCATGCTCAGCTGCTTGTTCTGGACCTGAAGAGACACTAAATGTGTAAGGAATAAAACCTGATCACATGTACCTGTAGAGTACATGTTGCCTGTACCATCTCGTTTACACAGGAGAAAAGTAAATCAGTGTTGGCCATAAACCAGTGCAGACACTGTCTCAGAGGAGAACACTTCAAATCACAGATATTTAGATGTGTTTTTCTGCCCATAAGTGTTTGTAGTGAAGAGAGATCTAGAGGTGATGGATGTCAAACTGACAGAGCAGGAAAAGGGATTGCTTTATTGCATATGGATTTGATACCATGTCAGGTTGTTCACTGACAGTCACACTGTCTTTGGTTCTATGTACTTGACTGTGCTTCCAAATGGAGAAAGATATGAACTGAAGGTTTTAGAGGAAGGAAAAAAAGAAGACTGAAGACTGCCTGTGAATCAGAGTTTGCTGTTGAAGGGAGACATGTTTCTAGTTACTCCCATTTTTGAAACAAAGGGAAGAAGAATAATTAGCACAACATGAGGAATTTTTTCAGTCTTACAGTTTGGAAGAACCAGAAGGAAAATACAGACAATGTCGTAGAAACAAATTATATTGATTTTTTTTTTGCACTACTGTGACAGATATCTTTTTTAATACATCATGTGAAATACTTTTGCTGGCTAAGTGCAGTTTTCTTTTGGTTTGCAGGGAAGTAAGATAGGAATTATCCTCTCTTTAATTTCATTAATTGTTTCTTATGTGTTTTTATGATGTTAGGCCAGAGAGAAAGCTGCTGATCTGTGGCTTTGATAACATTTACCTCCAGTATCCTCTTACAGAGCTCTGCTCTTTAGCTTTTTTGGCCTTTTGTGGAACCATTAACCATTTTTTCCTCATCTGGTTTTTCAAGAAGAACATATTGTGGTTTTCCCCAGACTTTTCTCTTGCTTGGTTTTGTGTGTTTATTTTGTGCCTTTATGGTATCTTACTGATCAGTGCAGCTCACAGGAATTGAACATCGCTGTGTCATCCCAGCCTGCACAGCAATGAGGGGCTGCTTTCTACTGAAGTGCTTGCAGCTATGAGGTGTATTTAGATTGGATGTTGGGGAAAAATTCTCTGCTCAGAGCGTGGGGAGGCCCTGGCACAGGTTGCCCAGAGAAGCTGTGGCTGTCCCGCCCCTGGAATTGTCCAAGGCCAGGTTGGACGGGCTTGGAGCAACCTGCGCTAGTGGAAGGTGTCCCTGCCCATGGCAGGGGGTGGAATGGGATGAGCTTTCATGTCCCTTCCCACCTATAGAATCATTCCCTGATTCTATGGCATACACAATCTCCTAAATATAAGCTATTGCCACTTACCTACCCAGCAGTGAAGAGCTCAGTGTGTGTCTAAACTTTAGACTGTAATAAAGTGCACAGCAAATTAACTACAGGTAACCTAAAGACTGTGTAAGGAGGTGGTAATAAGTTCCTGAGAATGAAAACATGGGATTCCAGGACAAACCTCTGTGACTGTGCTTCGTATGCAGCACTGAAATCCCAAGAGAAATCATGTAGATGCCTAAAATGATTTGCCTGTAGAGTTCTCTGATATCAGCTTTTTATCAGAGTACTGGGAGACCGAGAAGTTTCTAGACTTTATCTGAAAAGAATACAAAAGAACCAGCAGGAAGCAGTTCCTAATCCCCTATCAGCTTGTTGGTAAGCTCATGTTAGGACATGATCAGGGATTGTGTCCCTGGTTCTCAGCTGTGCTGTGCACAGTGCCCAGGGCGCCGCACAGAGATCGAAGTGCATTTAAAGCAGTTAAAGCAATCCATGGATCTCTGTGTGCTCTGCCGGCAGGGATCGTGTGTTCCCAATGCTCCCTGCTCTTCTCCTGCTAAATGGAGTGTTTAATTCCAGCTCTGGAGCTCACGGCTGCCCAGGGAGGGGGGGCTGGCAGACGACCTGGCTGAGGCTGTAAGAGTGACAAACCTGGACAAGGGACAAACCCTGCTTGTGATCAGGGTTGTGTGGGAAAGGGGAACTGTGGTGTCCAGTGTCATTTCCAGATCCAGGAGCAGAGACATCAAGGTGTGCTGCTCTAAGTCCAGGCTTGGGAAAGCTGTGGGATGCACTGGAATACTGGGAAAGGAGAGGGAAGCTGCCTGCCCTGTGCCTTTTGTTCTGCAGTTACTGCTGTCTTGCTGTGTTGCTTTGTGCTTCTGTCAGACTCCTCCATGCATGAAGGAAACATCCTCTGGGTTAGTTGTACTACAGATACTTCAATTTGCTATTTCTCGCATTTTGGAAAGAAAAAACAAAGCAAACAAAAAACAAACCCACTCTTTTAATAATAAAATAATTCTTTTCAATAATAAAATTATTGAAGTCCCCAGACTTGTTATCTTCAGTGAAAGCATTATATTCCCCATAACGAAAGTAAGCCATAATTCAAACCTTTTTTTCCTGCTGGTGTGTTTTTAGACACTTTCAGAGAATGTTTCTTCACAGGCAGTGTGGGAATTTGCCTGTCACGCTTGGCTTCACTGCTGGGTATTTTATACAGATTCAGGCAGTTTTCAGCAGTCTTCTGAAAGCAGCCCAAAAGACAATGGGAAGAGCTAAGGGAATGAAAAGGAAAATGGGGCTAGACTAGCAAGCTAAATATTTCCTGAAAATTCAGTCACATGCCAGTTACCACGGTCCTTGCTTGGGTTTGAATTGCTTCACAGCTTAAACTTAACCTTGAAAATCTTTTGCCTCTGCTGCAGCCATTGTCGGCAAATCTTCAATATGCATTTTTCTAGTTGTAATTCTCACTTATGTGCTTGCTTTTCTTTTTATATTGCACTTACCTGAAGAGCTCCTTTGTAAACTAGTAGATCTAACAGTCTCCAAACTGTGGGGCAGGTACTAAAAAAAGCTCTTTGTCCTGGTTATGTTCTTCTCTGTTAATTCCTGCTGTTTTGTAAAAGTCAGTCTGATGAGAAGGGATAATGACTGCTTCCCCTAAATAAGGAGTACAGAACTTCAGAGCTTTGCTGTTGCCCAGAGAAGCTGTGGCTGCCCCGTCCCTACAAGTGTCCAAGGCCAGGTTGGACAGGGCTTGGAGCAACCTGGGCTAGTGGAGGGTGTCCCTGCCCATGGGTGGGAGGAGATGAGCTTTAAGGTCCTTTCCAACCCAAAACATTCTGTGGTTCTATGGTTATTATAAGTAATGTAATTTTTTTCTCTGTTAAGTTTTTACAATCCCCTTGTGGTTCTGACACGTACTTGACAGCAGTTCAGTTGTGTGCAGCTCAGGTGATGATCCCTCCTGTTGGCCCCATGTCCAGTCAGAAGGTATTTACCATCATGTGATGCTGGCCTTCTGCTGCTTCAGCAGTAAGGAAAGTTTTGCTGCAGTAGGGGCTGTGAGTCTCTTTGTTTAACCACATCTTCAGCCAAACCTTTCATTCTGAAATGTTTTTTTCCCTTCTACCTGTGTCTTACCCCTCCTTTATATGTGTAAGCAAGGTAGTTTAGGTGAAGATGGGACTTTGTGACCCAGCTGCACTCTCACACAGCCATCCTCCTCTGGTTTTGCTCTTTAACTGAAACTCCAGCCTTCTGTCCCTCCAAATATGACTCTGGTTGCTGCCTTGTGGTGGGAGGGATGGGCAGGAGACAGCCCTGGCTCACTGGCCCTTGGCTGCTGAGGGTGAGAATCTTCTGTCTGCTCTTCCCGCCATCCCAAAGTTAAGCATTGCCCTTTACGCCATTGCCAGAAGAGAGAGAACTTGCCCTGCAGGGAGACTCAGAAAGAGTGGGAGGAGGAGAAGAAGGCTGGCTGGAATTTTCCTGAGATTTCTTGGGCTCTTCTCCTTTGGGAAGTAAATGCTCCCCATTTGAGGCCTGCTGGCTCACAGTAGCTGCTGGCACAGTGTCAGGAGCTATGGCCCATTACACTGGAGCACACGACTTCTGTTGGTTTTGCAAGCAGAGTTAAGAGCTGGTCATGCTCTGGTAGCCTTGACAATGCCCATTTGCTTTGCTGTCACTTCTTCTCACAGCATCTAGAGCTGTGAGAAGCAGAAGCAGCCAGACTTACTTGCAGACCTAGCAGATTTATCTCAGCCAAAGAATGTCTAAAACTGTGAGCTCAAATCAAAACTTCTGGCAGTCTGACTGCCATTCCTGTAGCCATGGATTTCAGTGAGCTACAGGAGCACATATTCATCAAATTGTAAGTTCCTGGAATGGGGAGTAACTGCTAGAGGGAAAAATGACTGGGTATGCCTGCATCTCTGGATGATGGAAAATAAGAGAGGAGAAGAAAGTTTACAGGAAAAAGACAGCCAAGATGTTTCTCTGGGCATTGTAGAAGATGTCTTTTATGATGGACATTTTACTTAACTCCCAAATATAAATCAAGTAGCTCCCAAAGGATGGTGGCATAAGTTGGGAGCATGTTGGAGAATCCAGCAAGCACAGGACAGTGGTAGTTTCTGTGCTGAAGTGTCCATGAGCAGAGTGGCTCATCTCAGTGTCGTTTAGCCACTGCAAAATAGAATTAAATTTCTCTTCTACACAGGGACCTTATTCTAGGATTTGAATTAAAATACTCAGTGTTTCTGTGATTCCCAGGTGGAGAATGACAGAGAAATGTTAACTTCCCTGGAGCTGACGTTGGCTCTGCGATGGATTGGTGTCCTCCTGCACCTGCTGGAGACACACACTCAGCTGAACACCGGGAGATCTCTCACTGTCAGGACAATGGGTTGCCTCCTGTAATTACAGGCTGAGAATTAGCTTCAGATGTGGAAGAGCAACAAAATGGTGAGCATTTCTGTACTGCTCCTACACTGTACAAAGATGACTCAAAAAAACCCTGAAATATGGGAGAGAAGAGCCATCCAAAAGCCTTCTCTGAAAGCCTCCGGTGTGTTGCTGCCAACTTGTAAAAGAGGAGATAAATGTTAGAGTTTCAGCATGTGATTCCAAAATACCCAAATTAGTGTTTAGTCAGAATCTAAAACTGTCTGGATTAAATATATGGCAGCTTCAGACAAAATGTTTGGTTTACTTTCCTGTGTGGAAGCCAGGAGGGTGAGCTCCCTGTCTTGATGGTCTATCTGCCTTAGGAGTTTCAAACCATTTTAAAGCACCTGATTTATGGAAGACCATGAGATAAATGTCAAGTTCCATGCATTTTCCAGTCTTTCAGCATAGGAATGACTAAGGGTTCTTTGGAAGCCTTTCAGTAACAGCTTTTGTTGATTCAACCTTGCTATGTAATGTCTTAATTATACAAAACATTTCATATCCCTGTTGCATTTTATAGGGATCATCTGCCTTTGCAGAGTGTGCAGCATCCACAGCCATGTTCCCAGGCTCAGTCTGGCACTGAGGGCACACTGGCAGAGAGGTTCCAGCAGGGCAGAGCTGCTGTGACAGTGGAGTTCATTGTATCTCCCCTTCTGGTTTTGCACTGGCTGATTAAAGCTGGTTCGGGTGTGGCCATTAGTGGCGGCAGCCTCAGTGTGTGCTGGGACACAGCTGTGCCCTAAACCTGCAGTCAGCTGGTAGATGAGGGAAGCACTTGGTCAAAACCTGCTGTCTACAAAGGTGTCTGTGACATCTCCAGTGCAGGGGACAGCAGGCCCTCTAGTGGGAGAGCTGCTGTGTGCCTGTGTGACAGGGCATGGCCGTGTCCAGAGCGCCACTGGCAACGTGGAAGTGTTGTAATGAAGCTGTTTGAAGCTGACCCAAGCCTGTACTGCAGTCAGGAAGGGGGGGTCTGTCCTGCGCTAATCTTTGTTGTGGCACTTGTGATGCTCTGACTGACACAGAACCACAGAATCACTGAGTCTGGAAAAGACCTCCAAGAAAGAGCCTACCCTGTGACCAATCCCCACCTTGTCAGCTGGACTAGAGTGCTGCATCCAGTCATTTCTTGAACACCATCCGGGGACAAGGACTCCACCACCTCCCTGGGCAGCCTGCTCCACTGCCTGACTGCCTTTTCCATGAAGAAATATTGCTCATCCAATGAAAAACAAAAATCAGAGCAGATTAACAAGCTGGTCTCAGTGACTGTGGGGTCACACAAATGCCCGTACCAGCACAAAGAAATGACTAAGAGCACCTGGCTGTGGCTGATAGGAGATCAGATCTCACTGGCCACACAGTCTCAGAACAGTGTAAACTACTTCTGGGACTGCATCCTTCTAGTATAAGTAGTGCTTAACTTCCCCAGAGAACTGAAAAGAGAGATTGCAAATTGAACAGACCTTACAATGGATATTTTTGAAGTGAGCCTTCTTTTTTCTTAAATGAGATGTGAACGTAAAGGTCCATGCCTCAGCTTAGACCTGCAGTTAGGGAAATTAATTTCCTTGGGAGCTGTCTTCAGGATCAGCCTCTTAGCTGGCCATTGACCAATTACTGCAGTAGAAGTTACTGACAATGCAAGGAAAGTTGGGCTTAAAAATGAAGACGCATCTTTGGCTTTCTTTGCTGTAGAAAACTGTTTTGCTATTGCAGGAACAAGTTGAATGTATGTGTCTCTGTTCCTAAAGAAAATGGGAGATTACCTGTTACTCAAACCTCTTTTTTTTTTTTTTTTATTTTTCCTTTTACAGAAAAATCTTTGAGTCCCTCAATGACTAAGTAAGGTATCTGTTCTCATGGTTTATCTGATTTGCTTCTCCTGGAGCCATGGATGAGTACAGCCGCTTTGTGGACTGGGACAAAATGGATGTGAGTGCCCAGAGCCAGGACACGAAAGAGCTCAGCTGCACTGAGTTCCAGGAGCTCAAGCAGCTGGCCCGGCAGGGCTACTGGGCCAAGAACCACTGTCTGAGAGCCAAAGTGTACCACAAACTCATCAGCAGCATCCCGTGCCGCACGGTGACCCCGGATGCGAACGTGTACCGGGACATCGTGGTGAAGATCGTTGGAAAGCGCAGCAGCAGCTCCCTGCCCCTGCCGGAGTTTGTGGACAACAGCCTGGTGCCCACGTACTGCCTGAACGCTGAGGGCGTGGGGGCGGTCAGGAAGATCATCCTGTGCATCGCCAACCAGTTCCCGGACATCTCGTTCTGCCCGGCGCTGCCGGCGGTGACCGCGCTGCTGCTGCACTACAGCAAGGACGAGGCCGAGTGCTTCGAGCAGGTCTGTCGCATCCTGGCCTGCAACGACCCCTCCAAGCGGCTCATCGACCAGACCTTCCTGGCCTTCGAGTCCTCCTGCATGACCTTCGGGGACCTGGTGAACAAGTACTGCCAGGCGGCCCACAAGCTGATGGTGGCCGTGTCCGAGGACGTGCTGGAGGTGTACTCGGACTGGCAGCGGTGGCTCTTCGGGGAGCTGCCCATGGCCTACGTTGCGCGGGTCTTCGACGTGTTCCTGGTGGAGGGGTACAAGGTTCTATACCGCGTCGCGCTGGCCCTTCTGAAGTTCTTTCACAAGGTCCGGGCTGGGCAGCCCATGGAGTCTGACAGCATCCAGCAGGACATCCGAGCCTTTGTGAGGGACATCGCCAAGTCGGTGTCTCCGGAGAGGCTCCTGGAAAAAGCCTTTGCCATCCGCCTTTTCTCTCGGAAGGAGATCCAGCTGCTGCAGATGGCCAACGAGAAGGCCTTGCAGCAGAAGGGCATCACGGTCAAACAGAAAAGGTAGGGGCTGCCACAGGCAGCCTGAGCCACCTCCGGAATTTCACAGTCAGGCAACCCTGAGGCACTGCTGGGGCGGCTCCACTCATGTGTGCTGGTGTCCTCTGATGCTTTCTCTTTGCAGAAAAAGCCACCAGCCCCAAAGCTAGCTTTGTAGTGAGAATTGTAACTGAGGTGTTACGACACAGGAGGAACAGAGCAGTTTCTCATAGCTTGCTCAGTGATGAATTTATACAGGTACATGTTAATTACAAGTATTGCATCTCAGAAGTGTCTTTCTTTTTTAAATTAAAAGGCATTTTAGCAAAGCTGGAAAAAGCACTCATAATTTACTTGGAAGAAACATACAAAAAAAATGTGAAAATTAATTCTGAAATATGAGATTATTTGTATAAAACGTCAAATTGATGCTGCCCAGTACTGTGAATTCAGCAGTTCCATGAGTGTAAGCAGGTGCTGTCCCAACTGGGAACATTTTGCCTAACTGGGAAGTTATTTTAACAGAGCAAGGATGAAAAAAGTCTTATTTACAGGTTACTTTTTAAATTAATTTGTCTGTAAGCCTCCTGGAATTCAAGAGTAGCAGTCACAGGTAGGAGCTGATCTATTTTGTGACAGGTTTGTGTACTATTAGAAATAATGATTTTGAAAGAAATGTGAGAGAGAAGAGTGAGTATGCAGGTCCAAAACATGATTGTGTCATCACAATTCCTTTTCAGAAATGAGGGGAGAAAAAAACAGCTGTGAAACTAGGGAATGAAATCCTGCTGCACTGTGATACTAAAAGCCACACTAATAAAAAGCCTAGCTGAAAGACCTCTCCATGGATATAGAAAAGGGAGCAATTTATTAATCTAATCAAAATTAGCATCCTGCCAAGTGCAGATGTATGTGCAGGTAAATGCTGGTGGTGCATGGTCTGTTGCTCCAGAGGCCTCTGACAGCAGCAAACTTCTCCCAGCCACTTTGGAAATCTAAGTTTGTGTTGGACAGTTGTATGAGCTGACTTCCACACTCCCTGGGTCAGTGAGGGTGTTCTCTAGAATTTGGCATTCTATAGGCACAGCCTCATTTTCTCTGAATCTTCAGAAATCCAAAGGTACCAGCCCCTGATGTAGCAGGATCTTCCAACTGTTGCTGAGTTAGTTGTCAACAGATACCATTCCATGGTATGGCAATACATACTGAGCACATTTCGGCCCATAAAACAACACAAAGCTTAGCTGAACCTCCTTCATGTGTGTAAGCACATGTGAAGTTCTCTCCAGTCTTTTCCTGTGGTTAATTTTTAGACTCAGCTTGGTTTACAATCAGCTGCTTCATTTTTCTGTCAGATTCAAATATTTCAAGGCCTTTAGCCAGTGGATTGTCACATCAGGGAGAGTTCAGACCATTGCATTTGAGACTCACAACCAGGAGTATTAACTCTCCCAAATATGTGTCTTTTCTTCCTGTTCTGAAGTTCAGGAGAGTTGTAATATCCTTTCTGAATATATTATTTAAAGGAGAATGAGAGCTTTAAATAAAATAAAATTAAAGAAAAAAAAAAAAAAGAAAATAAGGGAAAAAAAAAGAAGAAAACCCTCACACCACAAAACCCCCAGAAGCTCCTGCTGTGTTTCATGTCACCAAGAAATTCTCACTCCCAACTGTGCTACCTTCAAAGCAAAATACAGTAATACACCCAAATAAAGCCAGTAGATGCTGCTACACCAGGCAGAATTGCTACTGAAAGATGTTTATCCTCTCTTGGCTACTTTTGTAAACCCACTGAAAGGTCTCTGTCTGGGGGAGCTTGGCTCAGTTTGGGTCCCAGCGTGGGCAGGTGTGGATGCAGGAGATGGGAGCTGTTCTCCAGGGCTCCACCACAGCATGCCAGTGAGTTCCCTTCTCCAGGTCTGTTTGGCCTGTGCAAGGAGATGATGATTTATTTTCCAATCCCATAACAAAAAAGGGGGGGGAATAGAAATAGAAGTGTTTTAACCTGTCTGATTGTTTTTCTCGTGCTTGGTGACTCAAATCAAACCTTGCTTTGTTTCTCTCCAGGCTCCTTTCACTCACTTTGTCATGGATGTAGGAAGTCACTGATCTTTTCTATCTTTTTTTTTTGTCTTTCTCCTTGTACGTTCTCTTCTGTTCATTCCATCCCCACTGCACCCCTCCTGTTTGAAGCCTTGCACCTCCCAAAAGGTAGGTTAAAAAAATGTAGGTTAACCCCTTTGCACTTTGCTGTTTTCCCCTGTCTTTGGCTGGTTATCTGTTCCGAGGCTGTTGTCATTGCTGACGTGGGGGCAGGAGAAGCAGGGCAGCGACTGGAGCATCCCATTGCTGTGCCACAGCTCCTGAGCAGCTCCTGAAAAGTTAGTTCAAAGCACCTGCAAAGCTGTCAGGGAAGGGATCGTGGCCCAGGGGGTGAGCAGAGCACTTCAGACAACAACACACTTGTGTCTTGCAGAGTGAAAAGAGTAATTACATGGTGGGATCATGGTAATGGCTACAAAGGGCCATTATAATAATGATCCTTTCTACCTGAGAAGAAAAAGTGTTGTTGTTTTTTGGTTTTTTTTAAATAAATAACATGTTTTCAGAGCTGCTGGATATCGTCCCACATCCAAACCTGGTGTATGTTCTTGCATTAAATGTGAGACACACTCAACTTCTTTTCTTCTTTGCAAGCTTTCTGCAGTTATTTGGAAAGATACTGGACTAACCCCAACTTGGCACACTCCTAAAAGTGACCTGTCTCTATTAATACTGGATTATATTTATTTTTAAGTAGGCAGAGGTTTTTTAGAGGTGAGAAGACAAGACTCCTTTCCTGTGTCAAGGAGGTCAGAGTTACTCAGCCATAGAGCATTAACAGTCAGTGAAGTCATTCATCAAGTCTTGGCCTGAAAAGTAAATCTTAAAGAACAAAACCCAGTGGATTGTGATATCTGATAAGAGGAGAACTTGGAAAGGAAAAAGGCTGCCCTGTGAGTATTAAATACCACAGATATTTGGGTTTAAATTGATGCATTTGGGAATCCTCTGGCCTTGCTGCAGGTGCCCTGAGTTAACTTTAGTGAGTGATGCACACTAACATTTGTACTAATTTATAAAATCAAAGCTGGAATTCATTTCCTTGTGTTTTCATGTTTGAAAGAACATCTTAAGAGACTTAGCAAAGCATGTTTCATACCATAACTTCTGTGTTGAGGATTTTACCCTTAATGAATCAGCAGGCTGTTAATTCCAGCCAAGCAAACTTTCAGCATCTGTGTATTATTTTGCTGCAGTTAAAGTGTTCTGAAAGCAGCAGAAAGCCTTGATTTCTGCTAGGAAATAGATTGGGTTTGAGGGGCTTAGGGAGGTGCAGGGTGTCAGTTGACACTGATCTCAACACAGGATTAGGTTTCAGGTTTATGCACCACAAATTACTTATATTGCCATTTATGACTGAAAAAGAATATCTCCCTTTTCCCACACAATTATGCCCTCACTGACATTACAATGGAATTTAAAGCTAATGCAGCCCCTGTAAGATTTGACCCAAACCAGAGTAGAGCAGGAAGATGTTACTCAGTGAGTCATACCTTGGAGTGGGGTATTTGTTGTCATGGGCATATCACTGGGACCTTTTAGGTGTCTGAAGTACATTGTATTAATGATACATCTGGAAAGAACAGCATTCCCAATGAAAGCAGCAAATAAGCTGCTTTATTAAACAATTGTGCTAGGTTTCTAAATCTAATTTCCTTGATACAGTAGCAGCTGAACAAGTCTTTCCAACATCAGCAATCAACAGAAAGTTGTCATTCTCATCCCAGTAACTGAGGAAAACACTAATGCAGGGTAAAATCTTACTAAATTTGTTCAGTTATAGTGGTAGAGTATAATGCTGTCCAAATTTACTGATTTCTCAAACTGCTTGGTTTTTCACCAGATAACCCTGAAAGACCTGTGGTATGGTGAAGGCTACACTTATTTTTCCTCAATGACTATAAACCAAAACACTTGGGTTTTATTTAGTCAACTTGTATTCTGTTCATTTTCGCTCATCTACTACTTTGAAAAGCAGCTGCCAAACTGAAGGAGATGATTTTCAGTGTCATTAGATAAATACTGTCAAAAATAAGAGAACTAATACAGGTTAGATACTTGTAGCTGGTTGCAATTTTCTGGACCCTCCCTCCCCAGAAAAACCCTTGTATTTTTTCCTCAGCAGCACAGATGGTTTGATGTAGGCACAGGCTGTGTGTGGTATCAATACAGGGTCAGGTTTCAGTCTCAGGCACCTGCAGCTATGATTTGTGACTGGGAAATAGCAGGTCGTTTGATTTTACATCCTTTGGCCAAGTTATGGTCTAGGTTGAACTAGATGATGAGATTAAATATGACATGATTTGCCATGATATTCAAAGGGAAGGAACTGTATTCCTGGGATAGTTTTAAATGGCCAATATAGTGGTAAATGCTTTCGAGTAATCAGAAAGATCTGTTTGAAAAGGTGATATTCTACCTCCATGGAAGAGTTGTGGGAAGACACAGGGTTCTGAAAGGGATGTGTTCCTGGAAAACTGCTGAGCTCAGGCTTCGAGTGGGGTCTGGGGAGGAAAGTCCTTAAACCAGCAGTTCAGAGCAGCCAGAAGGAACAAAGGCAAAAGCAAAGGCACTCTGAGTGTGAGAGCCTTTTAGGAACAGGAGCTGAAATTTGGTTGACCAAACAGCTCACAGAAGTGTGAAAAATATACAGACCAGAAATACAAATAATCCTATGGCTTGCCTGAGGTGTAACTTTAAAACTTTTGATATTTGCTACTCTTAGCCTATTTATCATCGTTACTTTTCCTCCAGAAATTCACTCTAACAAACTACTTGATTGCCCTAAATACTTTTTAATTACTTAAATGTAGAAAAAATTACCTAAATTCTGCTGAACTGAAACCAAGGCTTTGTTTCTCAGCTCTGTTCCATAGTGCCACCAGTTTTAGCTGCAGACCAGACAGGATCCGGAGAATGAGACCTAAAGTAAGATTCTGGAGATGTGGGTTCAAAGCTTTGCTCATACTTTGCTTCAGTGGGTCTCTCCTGTGCCTCAGCTTGCTGTTTAAAAACACAGATCATTTCCCTAGTCAATGATACTGTAAGTTTTTAAAAGCCATTAAGAGTTGCAGGTTCCTTCAGTAGGTGCCCATAAAAGTTCCTTGATCATTAAATAACTCAGGGTAGCAATGCAGGGAGTGATTTGGTTCATTTGGTTGGAGGAAGCAGTAATTTTAGTAATTTTTTTAAAGTGACTTAAGGAGTCACTTCATCAGAAATGCTGGCACTAAGGCAGCTACAGTGAGTTTCAGAAAGCAGGTCCCAGTATCTCCAAGCAAGCACCACTCTGAAGTACAATACAAAAGCTGCTGGGTTTTTGGTCCTACAAGCATGAAAAATAACAGACAATTAGACAATTATAGTTTGTGTGTTTTAGGGAGTGAGCTAAGCTGTCCAGATCCATGCAGATGTACTAAGGGTGTCTTTATGTTCCATGAAACTGAGAGGAAAGAAATGTGTAATTATCAGAAAAAAAACCATCAGAAATAGGCAAATACTTGCACCTGAACCCTTGCATGCAGAGCAAACTGATAAAGCTTCCCTTGACTGCTGGCTGCCCAGTAACCCACTATCTTGTGTGAGCTCCTGTGTCACTGCACCATGTCCTTGGCTGTCACCTCGGCATTTGGAGTGTTTAACATGACAATAACACTTGTTTAATCCCCAGGCTCTGGGTTTGTGTGCTTGTTTAATCTGAGAAATGAAAGCTGGTTAAGATGATGATGGTTATTACACTCAAGTGTTTAAAGCCATGAATCGATCAGTGTATCAGACCCCTCTGGGGGGCGTGGGGGTTTCCTTTCCAGTGTCCATGTCCACCATTGCTTCATGTTCTCAGGCTCCATCTGTAACCTTGAGCCCAGGAACTTCTTGGGTTCTTAATGAAGTGGAGGTTATTGCTAATGACATGTTTCCAAGAGGTGGAGCTTTCAGAAAGCTTCAGACATTTTCCTTGGATTAAAACTGCCCAACCTGGTAAAACTAATTCCTCTAAGGTTTCTGAGGGCTTTAGGGATTCTCTAACACCTGATACAGGCAGGACCTGAGAGGGGGTGGGGATAATACTACCCCTTCCTTTCAGATCCTGACTGTTCTGTTCTCTGTGCTTAAATACAAGTGCAATTTGAGAGAGAGACCATCTCAAATAGCAAATACAATTTGTACTGTTTAAGGTCGTGGTCATCCTCACTGGGTCAGTGTTGTGTCCTCTGTATATAAAGGTGCAGGCAACAGCTGCCATACAGAAGAATAGCTCCAGGTATTTCAGTCAGGCCAGATCTCTGCCTCTGAGGATTATGTTAAATTGCAGTAATTTATTACCTTCACTAGGCCATGTCTTTCTAATCCCGTGAGGTGGAGCTTTGAACAACAACTTATCTGCTAGGGTCTGCTAGTGCTCAGCTGTCTTTGCATGTTACTGCCCAGTAATCCAAACCTTGTTAAATTATTGTTTCTCAGTGGTTTGTGTTGTTTTTCTCAGGCAGAATGTGCACTTGGCGGTTCACGCTGAGAACTTCAAGTCAGAAATTGTCAGTGTGAAGGAGATGCGAGACATCTGGTCGTGGATCCCCGAGCGATTTGCACTGTGCCAGCCCCTCCTGCTTTTCACCACCTTGGAACACGGCTGTAGCCTGAGCAGGTATGGACAACCTTCCAAGATGTCAGTCTTCAATCAGTTGCCAGACTGTGCTGGTGTGAGACTGGTTCATTCCTCCCTGGGTCGAGTGGTTCAACTCAATGGCAGCTCTTCGGGCTCTTTTGACAGAAAACCGTTCAGACTGATCCAAGGAATAAGGGAGATTCCTCTGCATGAATCTGATTGTCATTATTTTTTAAGTGGGACAAACTAGAAATGAGTTCTCCTTCCACTTGGTACACAAGACTTTAACCCTATAGCTCCTAAAAATGACCTTGTCATCAGCAGGTGAGGTACTGAGCTGGGGAGTGACCTGCTCTCCCAGCCCCATGTGCCTGAGGGAGAGCAAAAGCAAGCAAAGAGAATGCGTCACAATTAGTTTTTATGAAGACCCAAAGCCCTTCAAACACAGCCTTCAGCCCTCTAGGTTGTTTTAACTCAAAATGCTGTAAAATGCTGCTTGAGATGGTCGGGTCTCCAGCTGTTCTGCAGAGATACAAACAACTGCAGAGAACTGAGTAGAGAACAACTGCTTAATAATATTCATTTACACTCAGCTGTATGATTTACATGGACTGTAGAAAGCATTTGCAGAAATGTTCTCAGTCTTCAGATGTTTTTTGCTATGGCATCAGTTGGAGGAGGTGGTGTGCCTGATGTTGAGGAGGGAAGGAGCTGCAGTTGGTGGTAGCTGAGCGCTCATTTTGTGTGCTCTGCTCTTCAGGTTCTATTCCCACAGCGAGGGACACGAACCAACTCTTCTCCTCATCAAGACAACAGCAAAGGAGGTGAGTGAAGTGAAAGAGAAGTGATTAAACTGGGTTTTGGGCAGTGTGTGATTTGCGTTGCAACACAAAACTGTTTATAATAAAATGAATAAGCAGGGATTGGGTTTGGTTTTTTAACAACCCATGCTTTAAATGATTCCATTTGTTGGTTATAGGACTGTGCATTCTTGAGTAGATCTTGTAAACCAGGTCTTGATCAGCTGCTTTTTCTCCTATAACTAATGTGCAGTGAGGAACTAAAGTAACTCACTTTTGGGCAGAGTCTTTATTGCAGAATCAAAGGGACAGGGTGGAAATTGTGTTAAACTCACGATGCATAGAAGATATTTCCTTCAGGATATGAGGAGAGAAAGCAGCAGAATTTAAATTGTATGAATAATGCTACGCTACATAATGTGAAAGCAAAAGCCTTAGCATCATCTCATTCTTGACGGGGACAAAAATAAGCTAAGGAAGCTGTGAGAAGCTGAGGAGGGCACACAGGTGCCTTATCTCTGCTCTGCTGTGTGTGACAGGATCAGGCAGCATAATGTGAAAGCAGCAGCTTTAATATATAAACCAAGAATTCTTCCCCGAACCTTCTCAGGAGGGCACACTGGAGCTTCCTGTGATGGTGCTGGTTGTCTGTGCCACCGTGCATGACTGTGAAATTCCCTGTATATAACATTAAACTGCTTGCAGCCTGTGGGCTTGCATTCCTACCTGTGTCCCTGCAGGATGAATGTCCGTGAACAAGCCCATTTCTACTCTTATTTGCAGCTCTAATGTTCAGACTCTGAGTCATTTCATATTTCTGATGATTTCTAAACATCCAGGCCTGCACTGACAAGCCAGTGGCTCATGGAATACCCCTGGTGTCTAAGGGAGAAAGGGGGAAATATCTATTTGTTATTGTGCTTCTTGTCCTGGATTATGTCAAAAGTCTTTGGAAGGGATGCTGGTTTTTATAACATGGTTTACCTTTTACCTCTCAAAAAAAATATATATGTAGTCCAAAAAAAAAAAAAAAAGTAGGAGAAAAATAAGGAGGATTTTGTTTGATGATTGTAGGTTTGAGGTTTAGTGCAAAGGATTGTTCATCCTTTATTCATATGTCTGTAGTTACTTTTCAGAATGAAGAAAACTTGCCTTCTGATTTTCTGTCTCTCATATCCATCAGGCATATCACATCAAATAGACTCCTGGATTATTTAGATTTAGTTCTAAATTGAAATTTAACTCTAAATACAGATTTATCTATATAAAAAACTTGCTCTTCAGGGATCTTGTCCTAGGAGCTCTGTTTGTAATGCTGGGGGAGGCTAAACAGCAAGTGTTCTTTAGAACAATTCTATATGACCATAACTGTTTTTCCAGTTTCTGGGGAAAGGAGAGGCAGGGATGCTTTCACCCTACTCTTGGGACTTCGTTGTGTGTGCACTTGGCAGGGATGTATGTTGCCAGTAGCAAAAAATTCTCCTCCTGCAAACAAAAGGCTCCAGAAAACAGCTCAGCCTTCTGACGGTGCTTCCCTTTGTTGGAGATTAATGGAGATGTGGTTTGCTGCTAAATATCTGAGCCAGTTCAGCATTGGCCTAGCTAAGCTGGCTTTAGCCTACACTTGGAAATTTAAGAAAGCCACCAAGGCCACTGTTTATGACCAGAAAATATTCAGGCAGAGCTGCTCATTTGGGACAACACTGTTGCTTTGAATGCCAAAGGGAGGAAGTTGGAGTCAGGCTGTACAGGTTTGGAGTGATTTGTGCTTTGGTACCCGGGGTTCTCTTGGAACATTTCTCCCTTAAGGCCTCAGAGATGTGAAATAATTTATGAAACTCTTCAGATTTAAGGGAAACCACCAGTGGATTAAAGCAATTTAAATCTATCTTTAGATGTAAATACTTGTGCTGCTTTAATCCACTGGTACTGAGATTCTGAAATTCCAACTAAAACCTGTGGTTTTGGCCTCTGAAATGTCAGAATCAGTGGGTTTAACACCCTTCCTCCCTCGATGGAAGCCTGACTGTGCTGTCTGTGCCAGGTGTGTGGGGCCTACCTGTCCACGGACTGGAGCGAGCGCCGGCGAGGAGGGAACAAGCTGAGCTTCTTTGGGACTGGAGAGTGCTTTGTGTTTAGGGTGAGTACAGTTTTATTGTTCCTGCCCAGTAGCAAGACAGAACCACTGTACTTGGGTAACTCTTAACTTCCCTTCCTCTTAAGTTTCTTCCCTTGCATGGAATAGAGTCGTTGGAAAAGACCTTAAAGATCATCAATTCCAGTCATCAGTGTGGCACCAGCACCATGTTCACCACTAAGCCATGTCCTCAAGTGCCACGTCCACACAACTTTTAAATCCCTCCAGGGATGGTGACACCACCCCTTTCCTGGGCAGCCTGTGCCAGTGCCTGGCAGCCCTTTCAGTGAAGAAATTTTCACAGTATCCGTCCTAAACCTCCCCTGGCACAACTTAAAGCCATTTGCTCTTGTCTATCTTTTGTTACCTGGGAGGAGAGACCAACCCCCACCTGGCTCCACCCTCCTGTCAAGGAGTTGTAGAGGGAGGTGATGCAGAGATGAGAGATGTAATAAAGTAACTCAGAAATCGCTGCATCATTACTTCCATCACCTGAAAAGCAAAGTGCCATGATCTAGTAATAACAGTGGGGTTGGATCAAGGGTTGGACTTGATGATCTCGGAGGTCTCTTCCAACCCAGTTAATTCTATGATTCTATGATTCTATAATACAATATCTGGCCTCAATAAGGGTTGATCCAACCTTTCCCACTGCCAGTGTGGGTCTGGGATGTCCTTTGCTGAGCAGAGGTCTGTGCAGTGTGTGCATTAACTACAGCCCTGCTCTCTCTGCAGCTGCAGCCAGAAGTGGAACGCTACGAGTGGGTGATCATAAAGCACCCAGAGCTGGCCACGGCTGGCGCAGAGACAGAGAACCAGAACCACTCCTCACCAGGTGCCAGCACCCTGTGCTCCGGCAGTGGCCCCCCGGAGCCCTCGGAGCGGCTCTCGCCCTTCCTGTCAGCGCGGCACTTCAACCTGCCTTCCAAAACCGCTTCCATGTTCATGGCGGGCAGCAGTGAGTGCGTCATCGTGGGTGAGTCACTGTGAGAACCCAGGCACAGATCCCTCCCCAGCTCTTCCCTCCACCTCAGATCCGTGGCAAATACAGGTGACCTCTGTGTCTATTTCAGTAGGGTCACAGTTAGAGAGAAAACTGCCCAAAACCTGGTATTATTTCCCAGCAAAGCTTTTCTGTGGCAAAACTTGCATGCAAGTGTTTTAGAGAAGGCTCGTGGCTTTAAGCACAGCCGTTCCTTCAAACTGCCTAATTCAGGATGAGAGGTAGTTCTCAAAAAGGTTACATCAAGGCTTTTGAAACGCAGACTAAACTATAAAACATGTTAATTCTCCAGGAACTTTACTGGATCTGTGGTGCTGCTGACTTTGGCAAAAGCCTTCTTAGTAATGTTGTCACCTAAATGGGATTTACAAGGAGCGAGTATAAAACCATAGTTGTCCTTTTCCCAAAAAGCTTTACTTGACACTTGTTAGGAGAGCAACTGGCCTGTGATTTCCTCTGTAATGTCAAGTGTTGGCTGATTTCCCACCCTGCAACATGTGCTCTAATCATAGGCTTATGGAATGGTTTAGGTTGGAAAAGCCTTCTAAGATCATCAAATCCGACCATTCCCCCAGCAGTGCCAAGGCCACCACTGACCCACGTGCCACATCCACACAGCTTGTAAATCCCTCCAGGGATGGGGACTCCACCCCTGCCCTGGGCAGCTGTGCCAGGGCCTGACCACCCTTTCCATGAAGAAATTTTCCCCAATATCCAGCCTAAACCTCCCCTGGCACAGCTGGAGGCCGTTTCCTCTCATCCTGTCCCTTGTTCCCCGACCACCACCTGGCTCCCCCTCCTGTCAGGGAGCTGTAGAGTATGATGTGTCCCACCAGCTCTTCTTATCAGCCTTGGGGGAAGGGAGTCACTTATTTTTACCACATCCCCCACTGTGGGGAGGAATAAGGGAGATCCAGGCTTGGGTGGTAGATACAGACAAGTGAGTGTTGTACACAACTCCAGCTGTGGATCAGAATTCCCACCCTTTTGATTCCTCAGGTGGTTTTGGTAGCTGTTCTTTGATGGTTGCCCTATAAGCAATAGGAGATCTTCCTTTTTTTTTTCCTAACATATTTCTGTCTAACTTTATTTCACTTCTCTGCATTTTCTGACTATAAGCAACATGAACCTTGACATAGACCCACAGATAATCAAAATGCTTTGAATTCTTGCATGTTTTATAGTGATTTATAGAAGACCAGACTGTTACTTACTGATCTTGTTCTTCTCCCAACTTTGATTTTTGGCTGCTAAGAGAATTACTTGATTTCTCTTGAGGAAAAATTTGCACTTGGGAGCTTCAAGTATCCTCCAGCATTGAAAAACAAATCTTAAGTACAGGTATTTGAGTCAGGCTTCTTGTTCTTACTGAGCTACATTACTCTACTTTATTATTATTAAAAGAAATTAGCCGGTTCTGATATTATCATTTAAAACCTTTACATTTGGTCATACTTTGTTACAGCTCTCAGACATCACTGAGAGCTTCCAGTTACTCACATGAGAAAAGCACTGAAATCTGTCCTTTATTTTGGATTTGTATAGCTGTTTCCCATGCTAAGAAATGCAGAGACCCCCCTGACCCTCTCTTTGTCTCTTCCCAGGAGGAGGTGATGGGCAGGCTCTGTACCTGGATGCAGATCTGAACCACGGGAGAACCAGCCACTGCAACACTTTCAATAACCAGCCACTGTGCTCTGAAAACTTCCAGATCTCAGTGCTGGAGGTGTGGGGCTTCAGGGACACCATGAATGGTTGACATGACTGTCATTAATCAACTAGTTTTTCAGTTGTCCTAGGATTCCCACGGAAATCCCGAGGCAGGAGCCACGTTAGAACATCCTGTGTGCTGGGCTCAGTGCTGTCAGTCATTCCTAAGTGGTGCACTTGGATACAGGGCCTAGTTGTTTACTCTTATTTTAGACAGGTCAAGGTGAAGTAACGAATCTGGTCAACTCCTTGTCTCTTTACCTCTAGAGCTCTGTATTCAGGCCCTGTTATTAGGTAGAAGTGAAAATGTGATGATTTCAGACCCATCTAGGTGGCTACAGGTCCGTATCACAGAATAGGTTTGGAGTTTGCAGCTCCCTGGAGGCACAGCACTGGCTGAGCTGCAGAGTCTGAGCCACTGGCACCACTACCTGGCCTCAGCCAGGGATATCAAATGTCTTCTCACAGGGAAACCTGCTCACCTCAGATTTGATGTAGAACAGTAGTTCATAAAACCATTGCCCTACTCTGAGCAGACTTTGTGCAGACAAATCAGTACCATGAAAATTAAGCTCTTAATTCACACCAGCACCTTGATTGCTAATCCTCTCCTTGTACCAGAACCCTTGACATGCCCCAGTTGCATCTGTTTGAGGACTCTGCCTCTGGAGAGGCATCCAGGCAGGACAGGGATATCTCCAAGACTTGGTTTTGTTTACATCCCTACTCCATATCAGTGTGATGACTTCAGACTGACTTGTGTGTCAGGCAACTGAAAGCCAGAGCATATCTGCAGGGCTTAGAAACAGCCCTTCCCTCATCCTTTCTGGGAGCTGAAGTGGAGCTTTAAATCTGAGAGTCACTGTGCTGGTGTCCCTGTGTGTTTGGGCAGTTAGACATGGTGACAGGAGCTTTGTGCTCTCCCCACAGGTGAAGGAGGGAAGGTGGGAGGGAGATCCCGCAAAAAGTAGCACTTTTCTGCTAGCAGATTCTGGTAGGTTTTGGTTGATGCAAAGAGGCTTTTGCTCATTCCTGAGCATTCCTACAGTCCTCTTTAGGCATGGCAGGTGGCATGTAATGTCTGGAGGCAATTTTCCAGTGTCTTTACCCAAAACTTGCACTATCAACTGTGGAGCTTCTCCCACATGAAGCACAAATACATAAACATCAATGAGTAATCCAGAACACACAACAGGATGCTCAAAGCTTCAGTGAGTAACTCTCCAGGAAGATTTATCCCAACAGGTAAAATGAAGGGAAAGAGAAATTGCTGATTTTTTTTCAACAGTTCGGTCTAAAAAATTGC